AATTGGTGAAAACGCATCTTGAGTATCTCAAAGTAAGCACCCACGACTGAAAGCTAATGTGTGTTCTTGTGAGTCTGGGCTCCTAATTCTTTTTTTCATGGGTGCTTCATATATAAAAAGAAGAAATAATATTTGCCCACATCCCACCAGGCTTCCTCACTTTGAGCTTGGTTTGCAGAAGTTACTCGGAGACTTTGCAGCAAGCTTCTCCTTGACAGCGAAGTAAAAGGCACATTTTAAGGCAGCTGAATGGAGAGCTGCAGTCACAATTAGTGCTCTACAGTTTCCAGCCATGTAACTATTTGTGACAGTTCAAATATTTTCCTCTTCCCATCTGGGTGAAATCCTAGCTTCAAAGCTTTGGGGTTTTTTAGCTCTAAAGAAGAGATCCAAAAACAGCCTCCTGGTCAGAGCATTTACACGGACAGTAACCTCTTGCTCCACTCTGCCTATTAGTAAACGCAGAGTTGAACCCAGACTCTCTGCTGCTGTGGAGCTGCCAGGACACCGGACTGCTGGCCGCTCGGGAAGATGTATTTTTTTTTTTTTTCCATTCTGTCAAACTGTTTTCTATGAGCCTTTTGCTGGAGCTGGGTACCGCTTTCAGGAAATGTGTCAGTTTTTATTGAACCCCTGCTTTCTCCAATTTGCCAAACAGTTCTAGTTGCAAACGCAGCCAAAAACGAAAAAAAAAAAAAATCTTTTATTTTAACAAGTGAGCCTTTTTTTTTTTTTTTTTTAATAATGGTGCAGTAAATACCAGTTGCAATTTATAAACAGGAATCTCTTCGGTCTCATCCCCTGGGTACCTGTTCAGCCACACTCCCCTCTCAATTCTCAGCCTGAACTGCCATCTAGCTGCAGCCCTTGGGCTTGCGCCTTGGTCTAAACCCACTTCTGCCTTGTGAACAACACCGGCCCTGAGCCGAGGGCTAATAAAACTGCGCCTTGGCTCCCATGTCAGCCTTATCCTGACTAAAACAGGTCTCTTCCCTCCACAGCCAACGGCTGGTCCCTCAGGGCGGCGCGGCCCAGCCGCCATTTTGCGGCCTTCGCCCTGGGGCTGCGGGCAGCCCCGCACGGCTGCGCGTCTGCTCCCGCACGCAGACACGAGGACCTGTGCGTGGTGCACACGTTTAATTTTCACGTCCCGGGCTCACACGCGGGGCCGTACCACCCCGACCGACACCCCCCCCAATCGTCCTCCACCAGCCGCCGCGCATTTGTCGACGCTCCCTCCGGCCACCCTTCGCCCCGCGGCCGGCGCGGCACTTCCGCGACGCTCCCTGGCCGAAATCCCGCCCGACCTCTCGCGAGAAGCCGGCGGCTCTCCCGGCTCCCGGCATGCTTTGCTCTTCCTCTTCCCCCGCCGCCGCCCTGAGGTGAGGGAGCCATGGCGGTCAGGGAGCCGTCCCAATCCGGTCCCATCCTGCCCAGGGCGCCTCGGGGAGGCGATGAGGGGGCGAGGGCTCGGTCCGCCTCGCCGGTCGCCCTCGGTATTTTGCGGGGCTGGCGCGGGGGGAGGACGGGCAGGGGATGGCGGGGCGCGGGGGGGGGGGAGCAGGCCCTAGGGAGAGGCCGTGGCTGCGGTGATGACAATCTTAGGACACCTTTGGATTTAACTGTGAAAAGAAAGCGTAATTTCTGAGCAGCTCCTTCGGTTAGCGGAGGTGAGCAAGCCAGGTCCTGCATGTCTCTGTTGGAAGCTTAATACGTTTTGGTTTTTTTTTCCCATTGCTTCTTTTGCAGTTGAGCTCCCAAAATGGTGCGCTACTCTCTGGATCCGGAGAACCCCACGAAATGTGAGTTGCTTTTTCGTGAGCGTTCGCATAGGACTTCGCTGAAGCCATTGAGGTTTTCATTTCATGAGTTCCGTCTTTTTTCTCGGCAGCATGCAAGTCACGGGGGTCCAACCTGCGAGTGCATTTCAAGGTACGCAGTGTGTGCATAGTAGGAAACGCAAATTCATTGGGGTTATTATTTTGAAGGAAGTGTCCCTTGCTCTCTTGTATTATTGTATAGTTACTTCAGGGTGGTAGCGTAGGTTTATGGCCTGTGCTTGTTTTAGCTGCATGTAATGGTTTTTATCCACAGGAGCAAAACCAAGATGGTGTGTGCTAAAGAGCTGGCTGTCTAACGTAGGTAATAAAACATAATAGGAAAATAGTTGCAGTGAATTTAGGAGGCGGAATTGGGCTAGCGTTAGATGAGAGATTTCTTTTATTTGTCTTACTCTGCCTTCTTGATTGTTTGGGAAGAATATCGTGTTCATCTGCCCATGCTCCTGATCAAGGAAGTATGGCAGGGGAGGCTTGCGGTGTTTAACATGAGGACGTGGGTTCCTCTGGGAAGGGTTTAGGTGCGGCAGTGAGTTCAGGACCCATTCGAGTTAACAGCAAAACCAAAGCTGAGCAGCTGCTTTTCTGCTTGGTGTTACAGAGCACGGGTGAAAAGAGATTTCACTTATTTTGGTTTGCTCTTTTATTGTGATGAGGTGGGATTATAGTTACTCACTGACCTCTGCATTTAGTATGCTCTCTTAAGCACTGGTACTTTATCCTTGATTTTTCTTTCTGAGCCTTTTTTTTCTCTCTCCTTCATAATTCCCTTACAGAGATAATTGTGTTGTGTGTAACTTGTTTTCTCATCACTTCCTCTGAGGTGCCGTATTTGACATTTTAGGAGGAGCTTATCCTTCAGGCTCCTGCTTTTTTGGATTAGTGGCCAAAGAGGAGCTATGAAAAGTATAAATACTCACATTTTAATTTTGCTGGTTGGGAACATCTAGGCATTAGGTGAAAAACAATAAAGATGTGTCAGAGCTGCAAATTCAGCAATGGAAGTCATACCAAGGGTTAGAAAAGTAGGTAGCAAACCCCCCCCCCCCCCAAAGTGTTGCTAATTATCCTTCATTCTTTAGTTTTATTTTTTTTGTGTGGGGGTTTCTTTTAAACTGGGTTTGTAGCAAAAGGGATAGGATCCGGGAAAGGCAGAGGAGTGCTTTTGCTCGTGTTGTGCCTTGGAAAGACGTGTTAAGAGGAACTTTGCTGTGCTCTGTGTTGCTAGAACACTCGAGAGACCGCCCAGGCCATCAAGGGCATGCACATCCGCAAGGCCACCAAGTACCTGAAGGACGTCACCCTGAAGAAGCAATGCGTTCCCTTCCGTCGCTACAACGGGGGAGTCGGTAGATGTGCCCAGGTGAGGTCCCAGGTGGAAGGGTGGGAAGGACGCTTAGGTAAAGACAAGAGAAAAGGCCACGTTGAGACGACGTGGAGAATGGTCTGTTGTTGATGATGATAATAATGTGTTGAAATGCAAGAGTTACTCTTAATTCCAGTACAGCAAGGGATGCATCTGCTTGGAGTGTCAAGTCATGGATCAAATTTAATTATTTTGGTATGCAGCCTTAAGAAAAGGGGCTGTAATGGCGAGTTAGTGGCACGCGAAGGGCAAGTTGTGTTGCACCAGGACTAAAAGGGAACTCTCTTCTTCTTCCAGGCCAAGCAGTGGGGTTGGACGCAGGGACGCTGGCCCAAGAAAAGCGCTGAGTTCTTGCTGCACATGCTCAAAAACGCGGAGAGCAACGCCGAGCTCAAGGTGGGCTGCGTAGATGTCGCGAAACGCAAAGTGTTGGTGTCGGGCTGCGTGTCAGCGCTCCGGAACTCGGTGGCTGGATGAGGGCTGCTGCTTTAGATGAAACTGAATTGTATAGAGGCTTTTGGTGTACTGCTTGTCTGAATTAGGCTACCTGCGTTTTCCAGGTTAAAACGCGAGTAATAGTTTTTCACAGATGGGTAGTTTGTGTGTGGTTATCGACTGCTTAGGTCTCTTAAAATCTCCAAAACACAGGAAAATAGCAGTGATGTGTGGGGGTTGGTTATTGACGTTTTTGCTGCGGAGATTATGGATTTGAAGAGAAAAACGAGTCACAAGTCTTTACCTTCCAGGGTCTCGATGTGGATTCTCTGGTCATCGAGCACATCCAGGTCAACAAGGCTCCCAAAATGCGGAGGCGCACCTACAGAGCGCACGGTAGGATCAACCCCTACATGAGCTCCCCCTGCCACATCGAGATGATCCTCACCGAGAAGGAGCAGATCGTTCCCAAGCCAGAGGAAGAAGTCGCTCAAAAGAAAAAGGTACCGAGCGTCATGTCCTGGGTCCTCTTCGATGTCGGTCGAGAGATCGGAGCGTTGATGCTCTGCGGTTTTCGGACAGAGGGAGGGGTTGCTGTGATGACTTATCTTAGGACACCTTTGGAATACCCATGAAAAAAAAACCTGAAGTTATTTCTGAGCAACCTCAATAGTTACTGTAAACACAACCTTGAGAGCTTGGGGAACGTGCTTCTCGGTGGTTTGTTCTTCCCGCCCCCAGAGTGGTCACGGTGTTCTCTGTGCCCGCAAAGGTGCAGTGGGGCTACGGTCACATTTAAGAGATGTAGTGCTTGTATGGACGCTTGGATTCGTGGAAGTACAATGAGTGGATGGTTTTGGAAGGCGGTGAGGAAATCTCTCCTTGGGGAGGGTGACTGTAAAGCGAGCTGTGAGACGTGTCAGGAAGGTGCGGACTATCGCTCTTATCTCGCTTCTGTTTTTCAGGTATCCCAAAAGAAGCTGAAGAAGCAGAAACTGATGGCTCGGGAGTAAAGCTGACACAAAGCATGTACATAAATAAAATTTAAAAATTAAGACTTTTTGTGCGTCTTGCTTTGCTGACCCGGTGGGGCGCTGCCTGGGGACACCACGGGGGGGTGGTGGTAGGTGGCTTACGGGTGTTATTCCTACGTAAAAGAAAATAATTTGACCCGAGCTGGAGGTGTTTACCTTTCCCTATCCCGCCGGGCCAGATACCTTCCGCCCCCGGCCCCTGTAGCGGCCATACCGCAGCGGGGGTGGGAGGGGCGTGGGTCACGTGAGGCGCGGAGCGCCTTCTCCTATTGGCGGCGAGGGCGGCGTGCGCGTCAGCCGGAAGCGCGGGTGCCGTTTCCGGTGCGGCGGCCGGTGAGGGCGCTGGGTCGCCGCCGACTGAGGTGAGTGCGGGACGGACGGACGGGCGGACGGACGGGCTCCGTCCCCTCCGGCGGGACCCCGGGGCTGCTCCCCCGAGGGGCTCTTCGTCCTCCATCCCGGGAGGAGGCGTCCGCCGGTGCCGGCCTCCTCTGCGGAGGGGGCGAATCCCGAAACCCGTGGCGAGACGCGGAGCTTTTTTTGGTTTCGACGCGTGTTTGAGCGAGGCTTTACCGCTGGGGAGGGATGTTCGGGCTCCCGAGGTTACCGGAGTACGGACGGGAGGGGGAAACGCCGCCGGCTGCGGTAGCTCGTCCTTCCCCGTGAACCGAGAAGCTTGGCCCGGCTGCTGGGGAATATTCGAGCCGGAACGTCGTCCTACGGAGAAGCAGAACTGGGACGTGGCAGATAAATTAGCCCTTCTAGACTAGGTCATCCTTTATGGGGGAAAAAAAATAATTAAGCCCTTTTGTCCGTGTAGCGGTTTTTTTTTCTTTTTTCTGTTTCCATAATAGTTGACTAACGAACACGGGAAACAAAGACCAAACATACTTAAACTTGCAATGTCATGCATGTTCTCTCTGCTGACTCTAATGTATGGTGGCTTACAGAGAGAAACAAAAGCTTGCATCACAAAGAAATAAGCTTGCTATTAAAATTTGACCATTTGCCCTTTTACTCTTCTCTTTTTTTTTTCCCCCTAAAAATTAATTGCCTGCTAACCAGCCAACAGAGCATCACCAAAGCACAGAAGAAGCTCGCGAACGGTATTTCCATACGTCAAGGCCAGTGTTGTGTTTCCCGTGGCTTGCTTTTGCGTCTGGCAGAGGTATGACTTATTTTTCATCTGGAATCTTGACGTGAAGTGGCTGCAGAGACGCTTGCCATTGCCTCAGGAAGGCAGCCTAGGATGTTGCCTCCAGCCAGGTTCTTTAGCTAACGGATAAATCCACATCATCTGGCTGGAAATTTAGTACCTAGGAAGTTCTGGCGGAGAGAGTACCCAGATTGTCTTTCTGAACAGTTTTAATGGGTTATCTCATTTGTGTTGTCTCCGTTTAAGATTCTTCTCTGACTTCAGATCCTGTAAAACTCGATTTGAAGTAGCCAAAATACAGTTGGAAGTAGTCAACTGGGAATTGATGTTCTGTTGTTCCACAGAGCCTGGGGCTAAAAATCCTTAGGACAGCTTAAAAAAAAGAAGTGAAACTCTGATCCCAGATGAAGTGTGCACATCTGCCTCTTCATTCTCCACCCTGGGAAGCTTTTGTTTTCCTTCTTAATGTAAGAATTCAGATGTCAGCAGCCTAGAAAGGAGGAATGTGAAGGGCGAAGCTGGGCTGTGCAGCAGAGCGTATCTAATGATATTGCTTATCAGCACTGAAAGGGACAGCTCTAATCCTACTTAACTGCTTCCTCTCCCAGTTGTACTTTTCTGCCCCTGCACTTTGTCTTTCTGCGGCTTTCATCGCAGACTTCAGGCTGCTGTTTTTGAAGAGTTCTTCCTGGTTTTGAGAGAGAGGGAAGGATTAATTTTCTAATAGTTTGGCCAATTGTATGGGATTGGTGTGGGATCAAGTGATTCCTCCTGCGCAGGAGGAAGGAAGTAACCCATATTCTCCTCTTCTCAAATCCTGACTGGGATTCTCTTCCCATGTCACTGACCTGCCCTTCAGTGGTAGCAAGCCATCATTAGATGGACTGGAGTCCTGCCACTTAATTTCACCTTGAATAGAAAGGGAATGAGAAAACCAAACCTTTTGGACCCTCTGTTGTAATACGGTAGGGACTGGGCTAATATCTGCAGCTCACTGCTTAAGCTGTTTTTGTGTGGTTTAAGCAAAAACTTTTATTTTCTGAATTTGTTTTTCTAAGTTCCAGCTGTAGGACTGATGAATTAATAGCAAACTCTACTCCTTTTTTGTTAAAATGTCAAGAATGTTTCCCTTGTTGAGGACTTTATAACGTTGGAACACACAGCATTTTTGAATCTTTAACAGTTAATCTATAATTAAAGAATATTTTATGTTTGAATATCAACTACAATCTTTATTCGTTATTTAAGACTGTTCTCTTAGCTCATGGTGTACAAACACTGTCATCCTAAGTTGTTTGATTTTGGTGGTTTTTTTTTACCTCACCAGCTTTGTCACACAACAAGAGGAAGCCATGGTGTGCATTCCTTGTATTGTCATTCCAGTTCTCCTCTGGGTCTACAAGAAATTCCTTGAACCGTATATTTATCCTGTTATCGCACCTTTCATTAAGCGTGTATGGCCCAAGAAAGCCGTGCAAGAAACAACAGCCACAAAACAAGGTCAAGGAGGCAGCGCGGGAAATCCACGGGCACCTTCAGCCACAAAAAGAGATCAGGAGGATGAATCTGGAATTTATAAAGTAAGATTAATGCATTTAGCTAAGCAGGGAAACTCCAGGTAAAGCACCCAGCGAGAGTCCAGGGTGGGCACCACAAATGAGTAAATAGCTGGGCATTTTTACAGACATTTTTGTGGCTATTTTCTTATGAAAGGGTGTTACTGGTACCGAGCCAGCTAGAAATAGTGGCTTCTGGTAGGTCTTGGAAGGATAGGAGTTGCACCTGCTTTCTGAAACAGCTTAGTTAATTTATTTTTTTTTAACGACTCGCTATCCTTTCAGAGAAGGAAGAAGTCAAATAATTGGTACATCACACCAGATAGATGAAACGGAATTAAAAAACCCCCACTCTTCAGCCAGCTCTGCCACTCAATGGGGGAAAATGCTTAGTGTGTGGAAATTGTGCATTTATTATTTATCTCTAACAAAATGCAAAGATTTGTATATGTTGTGTCTGCCCTCATTCCCCCCTCCCCGCCCAAGCAATAATTATGTGTAAATCTGAAGAGACACCACTACTTTGGTTCTCGCTGCATATGTCTTTGTAGATCTTCACTGACCTTGCTTCTAAAAGCCACTTTCATCACCAGCTGTTACTGTTCTGGGTGTGAAGTCCTTTTTTGACATCCCATTAATGATTCTGTCTTTTATTTGCAGTTTGAAAGCAATGGCATTGCAAATGGAATTGCCGCAAAGAGATCCACAGAAGTTTCTGACAAGAAAACGGATTAAAGGAATTCATTCATAAGGATTTTATTCCCTTGTGTCCAATATGAACTGGTGATATTTCTCTCATTTTGAGACTTTTTTTCTTTGCACATTTTAGCTGAATAAAACCCCTTACCACTTACAGGAGAGGGTCTCTTTTGCCACTAACACGGCAGCTAGCACATTTCTTAATTTAAGATGTTTGAAAACTGAAGTTCTTTATTTTCCTCACTGGAGCTACTTTTCATCCATAATCTGTTTGGTGTGATTAGCGTTTAGGTTAAATAACTTATGAATAAATGTAGCTTTGGAAGGTAACTGTATCTTAGCATCTTAGTTTCACTAACTGCTAGTGCAATACTTCAGGCTTTCACCTTAAAAACTATAGCTGTTCTTGACCTTGCTAAAGAACTGTGAATTGCATCGTGGCAACATAAGCAGCATGGTTAAATTATGAAGAGTTTAGGTTTTTCATGTCAAATCTGTGGAAGAGCTAAAGGAGTTATGCTATATGCAAAATTTACTTAGCTTACTAAAAGCAGAAAGTCTTGATTTGGTACTTCCATTAATTATTTACCTTGAAACATTGTGCCTTTCTTTCCTGGAGAGGAGCAGCAGGGGCATGATGCAAGAGAATTGTTGCTTTATATTCGGTTGCAGTGGTTTAAAATGGTGCCGTTCTGTCTTTAAAAAAAAAAAATCCAACTAAAATCTCTTTAACATGCTTGTTAGGAATTTCAGTTATAATAAACCAGGATTTTATTTAAAAATCAGTTGCTTCATACAACTGTTCTTAGGCTTCTGAGCTGTAAATATCCAAAGTGGTAACAAAATCTTTGCAAACCTGTAGACACGCCCCAGGCAGAAGGAGGTCGTAAAACTACTGACTTCACCATAAAGAAAGTGAACTCGACAAGTCCGGCTTTGCCTCCTCCTGGGAAGATGCATTCTTGGTACTGACTTCCATCTCACCATTGTAATGCAACTGTGAAGTGTTGTAGATGTCCCTGAGCTTACTAAGGAATAAAAGTGGAAACTCCTGCTTTGTCCTCTCTGCCAAACCAGAGCGGTCTTTAAAAGATTCAAACCAAAACCATTTCAGCCACTTTGGACTGCTATTTAGGATTTGTCATTTTCCCAAAAGTCCTACCTAAGGTATGCCTAAAAAGGCGTACCTTTTAATATACGCAGTCCTTGAACCGTCACTGATGTCCAGCCTTGTTCTTGTGACTGTGTTTTCTCCTAACAGGTAATTAATTATTCTGAAGACTTGCTTGATGCCCGCCAAATGCCTCTGGTGAGGCGTATGGTTTCCTACCACTACCCGGTTTTGTCAGGTCATGTGTGAATTGATCTGCAATGTTCACAGCTGGATATTGGGTCCTTGTTGCTGCAACTGTTACTTCTGTAGTGAGTTGAATCACAGAAAACTCCTTGTAAGACATTGCCTTATACTGTTGGCTCTCCCTTAATGAGCTAGTCTATTGGGAAGTGAATTTAGTATTGCTGTTTAATCAGCTTTCGCATCATCCTTGGAAGATAATCCCCCACCTGATCAGTGTATCGCAGATACAGCTTTCTCCTAGACCGGTGAAGTACCTACCCTTTGTGATACTAAAACCTGGTTTTATTATTCTGAGCATGCGCACGTGGTATACTTCATACAATAAAAGATAACAATACTAACTGTGCATTCCTATAACTTCTCACAGATATTGTTGTGTGGATCATGTAGTAGAAAAGACAGGGATTGGATAACGGAAGCAAGGGAAAGAGGCCACACTAGTTTCTGATCATTTTTGTCCTTCGTATCTTTGGATATTTCACCTATAATGTTGCAACAGATCATAGCCCGTCCATCAGAACTTCAGGTGGTGAAAGGTGGATGTAATCTTGGCTGTGGTGGGTTGGGTTTTCTAAACCAATCGACCGCCACCTCTGCTACCACTACTGTCGGAAGTTCATGCTCTAAATCTGAAAGCTGGGAACTTCTAAGGGTCTGAAATCACCTTGCAATGAGAGAGGAGTAAACTGCCTGAGAAAGTCACTCCAGAACTGAGGTCATGCACAGTGTCTTTCAAATGGCTATAGAAGTGAAGATTGTTGCAGGTGTGCAGCTGAACATGAGTATGTGTTCTTACACTGTAAGAATTGCTGAAAAGATTGTCCCTTCTGCCATGCTTCCTGTCCCAGAGCAGGTAACCTTAGCTGCTGTTTTAAAATCCTGGGAACCTGATCAGCAGGCCAAAGTTTTGGAGCAATACGTTCACCTCTAACAGCTGTGAACACGACAAAAAGTAGAGCAAGAGCTGTACTTGGGCTCCTTTAATTCATAAATGTAAATGAATGCAGACAATTTATAAAGTGTACATAATTAACTATTTTGAGTTACTTGGGATATTATTATACAAGGAAGTGCATCAGAGAGCAACATGGAAAATAAACTATAGTACATCAGACTGCAGGCTGAACTGGGCTTCTAGCTGTGTGTCAACACCATATTGAAACACCAGGCCTACTGAAAAGACCGCAGAAAAGCAAAATAGGCAGACAATGCAAGTAAAATTACACTGCTTGTGCTTTCTGGAATGGTGTTTCAGTACTTTTATTAGCTGCAGTTAAACACTAATGTGAGTAAGCTTCATCACAAAGCTTTCCTGAATGAGGCACTTGGAAGTCCTAGCAGATTTGTGTTGTGAAATTTTTCAAGAATAGGTCAGTATTCCTATTGTGTAGTGAATAGTTAAGCAATAAGTAAGTCAAAAAAACAGGTGAAAGCAAAGGAACTGCCTGAGCCTGGGCAGGGGTGCAGGAGATCTGCTGGGATGCAAAGAAGCGCACAAAGCCTTGTTTAAGAAAAATAAGTAGACAGAAATTAAGGAAATCCTCACATAAGAGAACAGTATATATCAAGTAAATTTAGTTTAACTGAGAAGATTTCCGTATGTTTGTTACTCACTGAAAGCAAGATTTACAAAAGGGCTTAGGCACCTAATGATGGCAGGTGGACATCTCTCAGAATTTACTAGACCAAGTAGCAGCTTCGTTTACACTGAAGACTTTTAGAAAACTGCAGAGTAGGCATCTTTAGGGACCAAAGTACTTCTGCAAATCTAAGATCTTCAGCATTAAAGCTCTCTGCATTTATTTAAATACCACTGAGGAAGAATCAAGAAATCAACCAGTATTTGAAAATATTTGAAAAAATATTCAAATCAACTAATTTAAAGTATTTTTTCTTTATGGGAAGGTCTGAACGTGACATGGTACCTTCCATGTGTTGGTTTGCACAGGTAGCTGGATGCCAAGGACTTAAAATAAACTTCATTGAAATACACCTTTAAAATACTGCAAGTATGTGCAAAAAGTTCTTAAATAAATGTTCAGAAGGTTTTATGTTGCCAGTTATTTTGATGGGCCTGATTCTGCAGGCAAAGTAAGTTCTGGCAGGTTAAATGAAACATGATCAGCCTCTAAGGATGTCTAAACTGACAATGAATTCTGTGCAAAATTATCTTTATTCAGATGTGTTTGTAGAACACAGTTAAATTCTACCCACAAAGCTGATCCAATGACAGTAATACAATATGCTGTTATTACCCAAATGTAGCAATCGTGCTCCAGCATTCTTGGAACTGTTGGGCATGTTGCTAAGGTTCAATTCCTTCTTGACTTCTGTACAATGCAGAGCATTACTGATGAAAGAAGAGTCTTTCAGAGGCTGCAGGTAAAGGAAGAAAAATTTAATTTACACTTAGATTAACTAAATCTGCCTTCAATGAGAACTAATTCTGTTTCATTAAACTGCCTAAGACATGAAAGAAGGGATTACCTTCCTTGTGCAGTTTTCTGATTGTTAGCACATGCTTGCTGAACTAAATCATATCCTGGGTTTCACAGACTGTCATTATTTTTGCTTCTCAGTGAACCTGACTGCAGTAGCTCAACTGAAATGGTCTAGAAGACCATGTTTGCTACAGTAATTCTCTTCCTTTAGAAGAGTTTTTAGATCGTAGTGCTTATCTTTCTCTCATTGTTGTATTTGAAACATGAATTATTTGAAATGTTCTGAATAGATGTATTTATACGTAGATAGATATAGCAATACCTGAGCGTGAGGATTGTTTTTAAACTCCTTTTTTGTGCATGCAATCCTACCTCTTTTATAGCCACTAACTGTTGACCATGCACCATTTTTCTTGCCATAGCGGTCTGATCAAACACTGTATGAACATGAAGCCAAACCCTATGCCAAGATGTTTGCTTTTACGTGGCAAGGTATACGAAGTGGTTACACCCCACCTTTGCACTTGTGCTGTTTGCATATGTGCTATTTGCTTGCGCAGCCTGGTTACAGGTATGCGTAAAAGCCAGGCTGCATATTTAGTGTCATGCACCATGATAACAGGATTATGCTCAGGACTAGTTATATTCATAGAATCATAGAATCACAGAATGGTTTGGGTTGGAAGGGACCCTAAAGATCATCTAGTTCCACCCCCCCTGCCAGGGGCAGGGACATCTTCCACCAGACCAGGTTGCTCCAAGCCCCATCCAACCTGCCCTTGAACACTGCCAGGGATGAGGCATTCATAGTTTCTCTGGGCAACCTGTGCCAGTGCCTCACCACCCACACAGATAAAGAACTTCTTCCTAGTATCTAATCTAAATGTACCCTCTTTCCGTTTAAAACCGTTACCCCTTGTCCGATCACTACATGCCCTTGTATACGGTCTCTCTCCATCTTTCCTGTAGCCCCCTTTAGGTACTGGGAGGCTGCTGTAAGGTCTCCCCGGAGCCTTCTCTTCTCCAGGCTGAACAACCCCAACTCTCTCAGCCTGTCCTCATAGGAGAGGTGCTCCAGCCCTCTGATCACCTTCGTGGCCGTCCTCCAGACCCGCTCCAACAGGTCCGTGTCCTTCTGATGTTGGGGACCCCAGAGCTGGACACAGTACTGCAGGTGGGGTCTCACCACAGCAGAGCAGAGGTGGAGAATCCCCTCCCTCGACCTGCTGGTTACACTTCTTGTGATGCAGCCCAGGATATGGTTGGCTTTGTGTGCTGCAAACACACATCGCCTGGTCATGTTGAGCTTCTTGTCAACCAACACCCCAAGTCCTTCTCTGCTGGGCTGCTCTCAATCCATTTGCCACCCAGCCTGTATTTGTGCTTGGGATTGCTCCAACCCATGTGCAGGACCTTGCACTTGACCTTGCCCAACTTCACGAGGGCCTGTCAAGGTCCCTCTGGACAGCATCCCTTCCCTCCAGCATGTTGACCACACCACACAGCTTGGTGTCGTTGGCAAACTTGCTGAGGGTGCGCTCAATCCCACTGTCTGTGTTGCCAACAAAGATGTTAAACAGCGTCAGTCCCAATACCGACCCCTGAGGAATGCCACTTGTCACCCGTCTCAACTCGGACATCGAGCCGTTGACCGCAGCTCTTTGGGTGTGACCATCCAGCCAATTCCTTATCCACTGAGTGGTCCATCTGTCAAATCCATGTCTTTCCAACTGAGAGACAAGGATGTTGTGCGTGACAGTGTCAGATGCTTGGGAAGGGTTTCCCTTTTGAAGGAACCATTGGGTACTTACAGAACCAGCTACTGTTGGCACAAAAAACTCCTCATGGATGGAGGTTACCAGAGGCACAAGCAATGATTTAAAGCAAAGCGACGGCAGGGCCTGTGCCCGGTAAATCCTCCCTCCCTCCCTCCAGTCCCCCTTTCTCGAGTTACCTCACATCCCACTGACTGAAAAGGCGGGCCGCAGAGGAGAGGAGCCCCTGGCAGTCAGCCCGTGTCCCCGACCACCCGGCGGCTTATCGAGAGAAGCCTCTTGCCGTAGAAAACCCTCACCCGGAGGATGACGACAAGCCCGTTGACCTCCCCTCACCGGACTACACTTCCCGGCATGCTCCGCGGCGTCTTCCCGCCTTTTAACCCTCCCCGGCCTTTGCGCATGCGTGGCGGGGGCGCGTTGGCGACGTGGAAGGCTGGAGGCGGGCGGTAGCGGCGGGTGCGCGCATGCGCCGGGTGGGGGCCGTTGGGCAGCGCCCCCGCGGCGCGCGGGTGGGTGAGGGCAACCGGCGGCTGTGGCGGCTGTGGAGGTGAGGGGAGCGGAGCGGAGCGGGA